TGCAGTGCGTCGCCGAACCTCACTTAGGATGGGACAACTCCCTTTGGTAAAATAGTCGCGGAAGAGCTGTGAAACGCCGAAAAACGTAAGTGATCAGAAAAAGCCGATGAAATACAGAGTTCCAAATATTTTTCAAAAGGTACCAACGATGAAGAAACCTCGAATCTAAACAGAAAGCTATAGTTTATATGCTATCAATACTAGAACAATCAAAACGTCAATGCTGATGAAAAAACATTCAGACACGTATCTTAATCAAATGTAACCCAAATTTCATGATTTTGTTAGCTGGAGTACAGTGATTATCCCAACGAATTTCTGTGTGAATAAGACGATTCGTTGGCATGACAAATATTCAAAAAAATGTGGGATAAAATAACCATATGCGATCAGCTTTGATCTCGGTTTGATGAATTAGTGGTTTTGAGCTTTGTTTATGGTGGCAACTACTCAGGCGAAAACAGATGAATCAGTGATGCAATTCATTGTAACAGTTTGGTTTTAGTTTGAAACTGAACTAGGATAGAATGAGCTGCATTCCATGAGAGCTGAGCGCACTATTGACACGACGTAGCCGATACGCTTACGTTTACGTAACTCAGAGAAAATACTGACCGCGGTTGAAGACGATTGGGAAAGCTATGGCGTTCAACAGGGAATGGAACGATGACGGAGTGCTGGCATGCATTATTTTCAAAATCTTCGGCAGTGCTGGATAGCTACAGAGAAGGTAATTCATAGCGCACGCTATGCATTGTTTCTGAACGATGTTGTTAGTCAAATGTTGCATGGGGATACCTGATTTAAGCAGGCGGTATGCTTGTGGCGTACCTATTTTTTACTTTCTTTGAAACAGACGGGTGGGGTATAGCTATTCCGGCAAATAATGTGAAACAGTAGATTCTGTCAAGTCAGGGGGGAATAGTAGAGTAAAGAAATTGAGTCCTTGCATAAACTTTCAACAGAGGAAGGGAGCTACTGTTGATTTACAGCACAATTAAATGCGAGTCGGTTGCTGTTGATAGCATTCAAAAGAAATACAACACAAAAGATGCTTCTAGGAGATGGCCAATGACGGTTGGGGATGTTATGGTTGATGGTGATGGTCAAGATGGAAGGGCTCGATCCGCGAGTTCATCGAAGCACGAGAGTTTAGGTACATTACGAGCACGTAGGACCCATCTATCGTTATCTAGGAAAGCAATAATGATCTAGAACTACAACATCTGTAACCGGTTTTACCGAGCCTTGGAATTGGTCCGAGACGGTAAATCGACCAATGAACAAACAGGGAGTTACTGTGGCAACAAGCTATTCAATCAATAAACAGCGAGCAGACGGAATCGGTCAATGGGATTGAAGGGACCTTCGTACAGAACTATATAAGCCCAGTCACACTGTGGACCTGCGATTCCCTGAATTCTCAATGATGTTACCTAGCCTAGCTACGAAACGTATGTAAACATTTTCAGGTCAGAGAACCATCCAACATTGACATACATATGGTCAAATGTGTGACAAGAAAATATATACAATTTATGAACATACGTTTTCTTGGGGCAACCACACAGCATTGATTATCCATGCATAATCAAAGAAGGATGGAATTCGAAACAGACTTACTTTGACCACCATTTCTGTCTCCATGTCATCGAACAAACGTCCCACAGGAGCTGACCGATTTTGATCAAGTCCACCTTTTCCGTTCTCTGCCGTGGCAAGCGACGGATGACCGACCGGTGAGTGAGTGTGGTTGTTTACCGGATAGGGCGCGAAATTCGATAGTTGTGTGGTTCCTGTCACGTGATCCACTTTACTGAGCCCAGGATGTCGATTAGTGTGTTGTCCGTTCGGAGATTGGGGTTGACCTGGATGAAACGAGGAGACGGAAGAATGCACGATGGGGTTCGAGTTTGGCGGGACAAGTCTGCCACCGCCGTCACAACTATGTGCAAACAACAGCGGCGGTGGTGGCGGCTGTGGTAACAGCAACAACGGCACCAGGAGCGTTGTGATTATGGTTATTGTTCACGTTCCGTGGACCGAGGGCAGTTAAGGCACTGGCCGTGGACGATTTGCCATGATACGGTCCCGAAGATTGGCTGTATAAGAGGTAATGGGTTTCAACAGATGCGGCGACCAGAGCTCGACTGTTCGCACGCAAAACGCGTTGTGAAAGGCTGTGGTGAGAAAGCCTTGTCTGAACAACCTTGGAAATTTGACCCCGTACAAACAGCGCATGATCCGATAAACTGAACACCGGCCCCCAGTGGACCGCGGTTTCCACACGCCTTCCCGCTACCTAGCGGGTCAGGCTTTGGCTAGCCGAAGGCTCCGGTTGTGCATTCCCCAAGAAAACTCACTTGCCTTGGCCTGGGTAACCTGGTAGTATTCCGCCCGGACACCAATAATGAAGTTTTCACCTTTTTATAAAGATTTTTGTACAATGGCTTGTTTGGCACAGTCTGGATTCAAACGAGTGTTTCACATTTTAGTTTGTACAACCATGAACCATGCACTTTTGTGCACCACTTTGGATCACTGTCTTGTAGCTGCCTATTTGCATGAACGGTAGCAGAAACACAGTAAAGTTAGAAGTAGAGCGGAATATAAAGTTGAGAGTTTCAGTGCACTAATGTTGCAAAGAAATTGAGAAGATACACGAATGCCACTGTTTACGACACTCAGCCGTATCACTCAGTGTCTCTAACCATCGGTTACGATCATCCCGAGGTCCCCATCCAGGGAGCCTAACAGCACCTAGATGACCCAGTCACCTGGTTAGAGTTTGCATATCCTCGTACCAGGTCTTAGCTTGAGCACCTCTGGCTTTCTTCCACCCACTACCTGCCTCGGCGAACATCGCTCGCCGTGGAAACCTATTTGATGACATGCGTAACACCCAAAAAACATAATCAAAGGAAGTCGACCACTTGCGCTAATGGGTGACCGCAGTTACATGAAATTCTACGCCTAACCTCAACATTGCTCGTCCAGCTGCCCCCACCAGATTTGTGCAATGCTGCGTAGACAGCGGTGTTCAAACATTGACAGTCTATCTTTGTTCTGTTTTCCTAATGGGCAAGCTTCTGTTCCGTATAGCAGAACTGGCCAAACTGCTACAGCATACATTCGACCCTTCACAGACAGCCAGATGTCGCGACGGCGCCACAGATGTTTCAAGTTGGCAAATGCCAACCGAACCTTCTGTATGTGAGCTGACACTTTATCTGTGATGCGTTCAACGGGTGAGATATAGCTGCCCAAATAACAAAACCTATCCATTTGCTCCACTACATCCTCAGTTAGAGTGAATCTGGGTGCTGGAGCAACCCAATCTTGTGGGAGCATTTTACACTTTGAATGTGCAAAACGCATAACGAACATGGCTACTCTGGCATTCAATCTATCAAACGTATGTGAAATACATACATACCACTTAAACAAGTCAGGAGAGTGAACGAGAGGCGTGTCTTATTTATAATGAGCTTACTAACGATATTTGTTCGGTTGGTGTCAGTCTGATAAGTGGAATACCGTGCCCAGCGTATATGGTGCTTTGATTGAATTTAGGGTTTTCGAGCAGTTCTTTCATGCCAAAATCCTGGTCCACAGTCCAGATAAGCACTCCAGATAGTGTATTGATTGGCACATAACCTTCGTTAGATGTGTGTAGCGGTTGGTATGGAAACAACAGACATAAACGGATAGTGACCGCATAATACTTTGAGTCATTCCTCAGGATGTGAATTTTCCGAAACTTATACCAGCACCATTAATGCCTCATGAAAACGGTGCTTTTTCTAAATGAATAGAAAGCGCCAGGCAGTGATCTGACCCCCGGTTATACCCGAAGACAAATAAGTCCAAATCAAGCACAAAGTGGCAAATGCCTTCGAAAGCCTGTATCTGTGATTGTGACTGGTCACCATTTCCTTACACCTCGCGAAATGCTCCTATATGACCAAGCGTCTCAAATAGCCTCTGCTGAGGAAGCCCTACTCACTGCCTTCTAGTGGCG